ACCCCCCCCCCCCCCCCCCCCCCCAACAAAACAACCGAACTGATCAAGAAATCAGACAACAAGGAGGATTGGGGTGCTATGATCGTCAATGTCTGCCTCAGACCTGACACGAGAAGGAGAAGAACCGAAAGATGGAGCGATGATTGTGTCGTGAAGTTGTCACTTGGGTCGAATTTTCATTTCGCTGAAGGAGACAGAATCGTTATATTTGGTGACACTTTTCCAGTTCATGCCGCTGGAAGACTCCGTACTGCGCCACAACCCATTGAGGTTGACGCGGTGACAGTCGTTGTACCACCATCCTCCGTGAAACTCCCGGGCGCAGTTTCTTGATTCTGATGAATCGTTGTCTCGGTCTTTGGTTGTAAACGCCTGGCCATTGTGAAAGTCCATGTTGTCTTCTACATTACCCGAAAATCCGGATATATGAATTTTGTAGTCATCCGATTCTCCGGAAAGTGAAAAGTTGCCGTAGATGGCATGGTAGTCTTTTCCCTTGAACGTGAAATCTATCCTCAGTTCGTGTCTCCGCTGGGGATGAGAGCGCGGGAAAAATTAAAACAACAATGTTTGTATATATATTGCTTTGAGGTGTCACATGGGTTCAAAAAGTATTGTATAGTGATTTCATGTGAGTTCATAATGTATTGTACAGTGGTGTCACGTGGATTCATAATGTATTGTACTGTGGTCTCACGTAGGTTTAAAATGTGCACGTGTTGCATGATGCTGTCAATACCCTGATAATGTATTGCACGATGCTGCCGCATACATTGATATAATGTATTGTATAATACTGTCACATACGTTGATATGGTCGCTTTTAAGGACAAGCGGGCTATCCCAGATTTCGGTGGTGTCCAAAAATCTTGACCTACACAAAAAGTGAGCATTTCCCTACGTATAGGAAACGTTTGGTTTCGTTGGTGTGTATATTTGTTTGATTAAAGTTAAAGAGAAATTTTTCCTTGTCTTTTAAAGACACTGAACAAGGGTTCAAAAACTTTACCTTCGATTTTCTCAAAACAGCGTTTTTCGGGATAGCCCCCTTGTGCTTAAAGGCGACCATATATGATCTTGTATAATGCTGTCATATACGTTGATATAATGTATTGTATAATGCTGTCTCATATGCTGATGTAATGTATTGTATAACGCTGTCACATACGTGGATATAATGTATTTTATAATGCTGCCACATACGTTGATGTAATGTATTGTATAATGCTGTGGCATCATCATCATCATCGTTGCCTTTCTCACCTTGGATCAGGATATAGGCCACGAACAAACACTTTCCACCTTTTCCTATTCTGGGCTAGTCGCTTGATGTCATTTCACGTTTTGCCACTTTTCTGTACATCCATTTCCGTGACTTTTTCACGTTCCACGTGGTTTTCCCCTTGATCTTTTACCCTGTGGATTCCAGTCTATCACTTTCCTTGTTATGCAGCTGCTGAACTTATTATGTGCAGCCTATATCTCTTCATCTCTTGTGCCACTCGAGAACTTTCCTGCTTCGTAAATGGTGCGAAAATTCCCGGACGCAATCCGGAGACACTTGTTCGACGGAGAAGGTTTCAGGTCAGAAGAGTCATTTCGGCTTTGTCCGCTGTCCTTCATTGTTCCTGCTGATGCAGAAGCTCCCACGTCTCCCAAAATGGCAAAATAATAAGGCGTGTTTGTTTGTGTTTCTAAAACTTTCCGTTTTTACTGGGTTGGGTAGTTGGCCCTCCGCAAACTGGCCCTTTTCGGGAGACCATACCTTAGTCGCTTCTTACAACACGCAGTATCACGGCAAGGGTATTCTTTGCTTTTCTGTAGTAAAACTATGCCCCCTCCCCTCAAGTACAGGAGAGAATGCTGTAACATACGTGGATATAATGTATTGTATAACACTGTCACATACGTTGATATAATGTATTGTATAATACTGCCACATACGTTGATATAATGTATTGTATAATACTGCCACATACGTTGATATAATGTATTGTATAATACTGCCACATACGTTGATATAATGTATTTTTATAATGCTGTCGGCTGTCACACACGTCGATATAATTTATTGTATAATGCTGCCACATAGGTTGATATAATGTATTGTATAATGCTGTCACATACGGGGATATAATGTATTGTATAATGCTGTCACATACGTGGATATAATGCATTGTGCAGTGCTGTCACATATATAAAGTATTGTACTAAAGTAAAAACAACCTACCATGTTTGTCAGTTGGTGGATTTTTTCCAAGCCCAGCCAGAAGTTGGTGGAGAAGTTGCCGAAGCCGTATTTGTAATCTGTCCAGCCACGGAAAAAACTCACGTCGCGCGAAGCACGTCTCTGTCGACAGAAACCATTCCGCCAGTTTGTTAGGTCAACGTGAAGTCAGTTATCTCTGTTGTTGTGTAGTTTGTGATGTCTTTTATCATGTATTCTGTGATGTCTGTGATGTCTGTTATAGCGTAGTTTGTGATGTCTGTGATGTCTGTTATCGCGTAGTCTGTGATGTCTGTGATGTCTGTTATCGCGTAGTTTGTGATGTCTATGATGTCTGTAGTTTGTGGTGTCTGTTATCTCTGTAGTATGTGATGTCTGCTATCGTGTAGTCTGTGATGTCTGTTATCTCTGTAATTTGTGATGTTTGTTATCGTGTAATTTGTGAAGTCTTTTATCGTGTAGTCTGTGATGCCTTTTATTGTGTAGTTTGTGATGTCTGCTATCTCTTTAGTTCGTGAGGTCTGCGATGTATGATGTCGCGCAGTTTGTTAATCACATTGTCAGAAGATCTTTGATCACCCATGGTTTACTCTAAATCTGGAAGCAAAACCGTACCGGAATAGACATAGAATCTTTAGTAATAATTATTTAACATACTGTGTAGTATAAAACGTTTTTCAACATTGTTGAAGTTTAGAATCGTTTTACTACATTTTCACCTCAAATGTTTCGACAGTGTTAAAGGATGAGAGTATTTTTTCCTATAGTATTTCAGTGTATCTTTGCCATACAGCTCATGCAACTATTCTAAGCACAGTGTAAGCAATTTTTTATGGGAAAGGGGATTTCAATACACCCAATTTCATTAAAAAAAAATCTTTAACCGTTACCC